CCTGGCTTTCTCCCTCGTCGCACTTAGGGTTCTCGGTCTGAAGATTCTCGCGCCGAAGGGTCAACCAGCCCCATCAGCTCGTCACCAGCTGTCCCGTCCTTCGATCGCAAAACCAGGTTACTGAGACAGTNACTCCACCACTACGCACGCCTCGCGGCGGGTGCGCCGCAGCAAGAAGGTATCGGTCCCCTGAGGGTGAGTCTAGCCCTGCTCGCTAGAAAGATCCCCCCCCTCGCTATGGGTCATGCCTACGCAAAACCTTGCCGAGGCAGCGAGGGGAGTCACCAACAGAACAGCAGTTTGGCCTACAGTCAGCAGCTCGTGCGCTGGCTCTACCACAGCAGTGCGGTGATTTGGAACCTGAATGCGAAGGGTCGCCCCTCACCTCGTGGCAGCTTGGGTGTGGTCGAAGCAATGGCGGATGCATGGTACACGGTAATTAAATCCACGAAATATGTCAGCCAGTGTAGCTCAAACCGGCCTGAGCACGGATTGTCCACGAGCAAGCTAAAGCTGCTGTCGGCTTGTGTGTGTGGTCTTTGTCTCCAGTCTCCAAAGCCAGCTCAGCAGCTCAGTATGATGCAATGCAGTCAGGAGGGATAGTGTCATAAATGCGGATTGATTATGCGGAGCCCCCTTTTTTTTGCTCGTGCCTTTCGTTTCGCAGCAGTTCACGCCAGAGAGCAAACACCAGAGCCTGTAGAGCAGTGAGAGAGAGAGAGAGAGAGAGAGAGAGAGAGAGAGAGAGAGAGAGAGAGAGAGAAATCACAACCTGCCACAGTTATGTTTACGAGGTAAACTACTAGACTGAGCCACCTGGCGAGCAGCTTATGTAGACCATGTTGTGTTGATTGCATTCTCGTCTTTTCTCGAGTCCTTGTTCCATTCGTTTTTTTTCTTTCGGTTTCTTCTCGTCTCCCCGCCAGACAAGCGCAGCCTGTGTGGCCTCACTGCGGAAGATGAGCAGCTTGTATAAAAGGAGACTGTTAGCGGCGTACCAGGCATAAGCCATATGTGAATGGCGCACTTCCTTGTACATGTATTCTTAAGGGGAGGATGATATTTTCTGCGCTGCAGCACGAATGGTCCCACCAAGTAGCACAGGCCCGAGGCGAACGAAAGCGACGCGCACTTGCTCAGAACAACAGACGTCCCCAGTGGAAGCACCATTGTCGTGTGCAGAGGAAGTCAACCTTGGGCATGTTCTTCACACAAACAGCATGAAACCATCCATTTTCGGCACAACACCTGTTGTTTGCTAATGCCGGAAAACTGTCCGGTCGTCGTCTGAATGACGTTGTATGAAGTGAAAGTAAGAAGGCGCCCCATATTTGTCACCACAATCGCGGGCAACATATATTCGTCATAAAGACATCAGCTGCCGGCAGCAACAAGTACACAAAACACATGCCAACTCTTGCCAAGTGCTACGGCTGCGTTATTGCCTGGTGGACGCTGCATCGTTTGGATGTTAGTGCGCCATATTTGGCGGCGAAGAAAGCTAACTGCAAATGCCTGCCCCCTCCCCGACCTATCCCCCCCCGGCCAAGAGTTGCTATAGGACGAAAAGCCGACGTGGAGATTGTTTGCTTGGATTTGTTCGCGTTCGAGGTCTATGCGCTCAACAACGCCCTCATCCCCCATCTCCCACCTCACTATTGCCCCCTTCAATGTTCGGCTCTTCCCTCCAAGAACAAATCGACAAAACATGCTGCGGGGGCTGCGGCACTACTACATACCGTGAGCCAACCTTACAACTCAGCCATCGCCTAAGGATCAATGATTCGACCCATGACCGGTCCCCAAATGAAAACGGCTATCAATACTCTCGACACTTGCTTGTACACTCCAAAATGTGCCACACATACATGTGACAGATGGCGGTCGTTGCGGTGTGGTCACTAGACGAACCGCGTCGGGCACTCCTCATCACCTCCACTAAGCCTCTCCCCGGCTAAATCATCCCCGCGCCTCAAAAAATAAACTACCCCAGGAATAACGCACAGATATCCGAGCGTGTTTCGCGCCAGGAAAGCAAAAACCGTCATCACACTCATACCGACCACAGCCGGCCCGCTACACAAGAGTCATCAAGGGCCATGCTACGGCCACTAGATTAGCGCAATCAGGGGCCATGCTATGGCCACTCGATGTAGTTGTCGTCCTGGTACTTCTTGATGTCAGCGGGCCGTCTGTCGATCACCTTGCGATCGCTCTTCTCCAGGAGAGACTGGGCTGAGTCCGTCGGCAGCCTGTCGTCGTGGGGGTGCGAGGGCCCCGGGTAGATCAGCAGCTTCGTCACCATCCGCTTCCGGAGGCTGTTCTTCGGCAGCATCCCCATAACCGCCCGGCGCAGGATCTTTTTTCATTGGACAGCAGCCGGACGAGGGGTGGATGAGAGCAAAAGGGAGAAGAGAGAGAGGTGGAAAAACAGTAGCTGAAGACAGCTAACACGGCGGGTAACGCCGCCCTTCCACTGCTCGGCCTTAGAATGAGCTTGGTCACTCCAATAACGCACAAACGATTCTTTCAGCAATGCAAAAAAAAACGCCCTGCGTTCTCATTTCCAGAAAAGCACATCAAGAGACAAACGAGCGCCCCCCGTGGACGGTGCGGCGCTCTTGCATTGACCGCCCACAATAGCCACCTGTCGTGCGAAACGCTCAACGTTGAAGGTATACGAATGCGGCTGGCCAAGGCAATGATTGCTACAGCCACACGGACAATGCTGCCGTGCCGTTGGTTGTATCGGATGACAAAACGCGACAAGGAAAGCGGAACGAAAAGCTTCATCTCAACGGGGCGGCTGGCGCACTCGTAGCGGGTGGGATGAACAGCTTCCACGATGATCACCACTGTTTCTTGAAGAAGGCCACCCCAGCTGCCACATATCTCGCGGTTCGCTCGCTCATTCCGTTTCGGGGAAGAAGTGGTTTCACCAATAAGCGATACATGCGCTAACGGTCATGGCATCAAGAATTGATGCTGATACCGACCGGAAAGCAGGCGGCAGCAGAAGTATCCCGTACCTCTTCTGGCTTGCGCACAAGCTGGTCGTCCGCCGGCCGTTCCTTTAACCCGCCAGGAAAACCGGAATGCCATCGGTAAAGCTGCGGGATCGGGATGTGGAGTGGAGAGAAGGTTTTGGTGATTGTACCTGATCATTGTAGGGCGTAATTACTTTGCAATCCGTACCACCATGCCAATATTGTGGAGACGGGCTTCCGAAGACCACGGGGCGGGGGGTCGTCTACTCTACTACTGCTTGCGGCAAGCCATTTTGCAATTGACAGCGCATCCCTTCGAGCTGCGGCACCGTCCTCTCCATTCGTGCGAGATACGCGGGCTACCGCCGGCTACAAACAATGGCATACACACACAGGACATTCCTATCCACATCAAGGATATAAGGAATATTCAATATTTCCGCACTGAGGCAACAGCGGCCCGGTCGATCGGCCGTGCGCAGGCGGCCTTTGCCGTGTACAAGAATCGATTCGCAAAAGAAGGGCTAGCTTTTGCCACCCCAACCTCCAGTTTTGCACTCGGCATGCCTCCACTGGTACCACGCTGAGCTGCCGACTCCTCCCCTCCTATGTGACCTCCTGTGTTTCTCTACTCGTACGACTGGTACCATCATATAGCCGCACCTTCTTTTGCCACTTGTTTCCTGTGAACTCCACCGCATTGGCGTTGACGACGACAACGACATCGCCACAGTCGTCGTTCGGGCAGAAGGTCGGCTTGTGCTTCCCGCGGATGATGGGAGCGATCTGGGCCGCGAGTCGGCCTACGATCTGTAGTGTACAAGCCCGGCCACAGCAGGGGACAAAAATGATCCATGTGTTGGTAGAACAGCACGCCGGAAAGAGCAAGGGGTAGAAGATACCCGTCCACGGAAAGAAAACGAGCGCGCGCCATGCAGCAGACTGCAGCGATGGGGCCGGGCGTCGTACACAACAATGGCGGGGAAGCATCATGCGAGTAGTCGAAGCACGAAGTACACCACCGAACCCTCCTGGAGAGCTGGAGAGACTTCGGGAAGCTCGCCATGTATGCGAGTTCATGGTAAACACCTATAGCAAGGGCGTTGCCTCACCCCTATACCGGGAGTGCAGGGTAACGGCAAAGATACACACGAAGTCCAATGAGTGCTGCTGTAAGAGTTCAGTCTCTGCGCTGAGTGCATCTATAAATATGCGGTCCTACGGCAGCAGTGTTGATCCCTGTGGACAATCAAACCCAGCAGAGCAGTCAAGAGCTTGAGTATTCCTCACCTGTCCTCTGGCATCGATGAGATGCCACTTAGCCTTGTGGTTGATAATCCTGTTGAGTGTTGTCGCCATCCTTGCCGCACACCACACACACAGCGAGTGTCGAGGTGCAAACACAGCACACAAAGCAGCTGGCTCGCGTGACAGGTGATGTTTGTGTTTCCCGCAGTTTCCCGACTCAGGGGGCTCCGTGCTTTCAGCGCTTGATTCCGCCGCTTCTACAATCGTAATTTACAATTTACTAAGTTGGTCATCAGTCTGTCATCCCTCCGCATCGCACTGCTATCGGTACTCGGTGCACTGCACTCTTCCTCTGCCGATCGCACCATGAATGCAGGCAGCAGCAGTAGCGCTGGCGATGCGGAGATGTGGCAGGATTCGCTTGCGCGCGTCGTCCCTGCAATCGTGGTGGTCCGAGTGTTGTCCGTGGGGCCGTTTGACTCGGAGTCCGCTGGGTATGGCAAAGCCACCGGGTTCGTCGTTGACAAGGCTCGAGGAATCATCCTCACCAACCGGCACGTGGTCACGCCAGGTACGAGCGCTTGGCCACACAACGCTGGAGCTGTCGTTGTGTGTTCTTGATCTTCGAACGTTGGTTTAAAGCAGAGGGACGGAGGCGAGAACGAAATGGTTTGTGTTGAAAAACGTCGGGCGGGTTGAACAAGGGCAGCAGGGTGACGTATTCTCTGTTTGGTCTGGTGTGCACTTGATGTGTACGGGTTTTATTTCTCATTTTTTCGTCCTTGCGTGTCCAGCGCCCGCGCCAAAACCGCTCGAGTAGCAGCACGAGAATAACGGTGCTCTCGCTGCTGCCTTTTGGTGGTGTTTTGCTGTTTTCATGCTCCCACGCATGCACGCAAGTCACATCAAAAACATGTTGTCTCTCGATTGTAGTGCTGCAGCAACCACGGCCTTGTTTCACCTCTAATTAGTCTAATTCCCAACAAGCAGCGTTGCTGCTGGTTGGCAGCACCAGTTGAAGCCAGGGGGTACGATTCGCGGATCATGGCCGTAGATGGGGCCGGGGTTGGGGTATGATCCTGGGCTGCTGCTGGGAAACAAATGACTTGTTACATGGGCGGCAGCAGCAGAGGTAATATTTCTCCGCAGCCGTCTGTGCAAAGGACTGCCGCTACCGCGGAATCCGAGGTTTGAACGACCTTGCCGCCGGAGCGGCCGAGGCCAGTAATTTGTGGCATTACTACTGTACTCTGCACGGTTTCCACCTTGTCGACGAGGCGTCGTCAATCTGGAAAGCACGAGCCCATTACATCCAACGGGTGGTTGCAAGAACACCAAAGGAGATCGTGCAATCTAGGTGATAGTGCACACGTCCTGCGATTGGTTGTAAAAAATGCATGCCCGCCATCGGAGAGATCTCGGCTCTTCGGACCCACATTATTTGTATCATTTTCGTGAATGAACCGCGAGATCGTTGGCGCACCCATGTGACACGACCACCACGGACTCCCCTCCACCCTTGCACGAAGCCGGCACGCGCGCACCTGCACGCCAGAACCTGAAGATGTTTCCAAGCTGCCGTTGTTGAGAAGACAACACCTCACTTATTCTAAAAAAAGGCACAGACTGGTTTGGTGTGTTGTTGATAAAATGGGTGTGGAGTGAATGCGAGTGTGGCATCGTAACTCGCTTCGCTCGAAGACACTTTACGGTATTTCGGACGTGGTGCAGTGTGCAGTCCAGTTGCGGGTCGACTCGCTTCGCTCGAAGGCACTTGACGGTATTTCGGGCGTGGTGCAGTGTGCGGTCCCAGTGCGGGTTGACTCGCTTCGCTCGAAGACACTTTACGGTATTTCGGACGTGGTGCAGTGTGCAGTCCAGTTGCGGGTCGACTCGCTTCGCTCGAAGGCACTTGACGGTATTTTGGGCGTGGTGCAGTGTGCGGTCCCAGTGCGGGTTGACTCGCTTCGCTCGAAGGCACTTGACGGTATTTTGGGCGTGGTGCAGTGTGCGGTCCCAGTGCGGGTTGACTCGCTTCGCTCGAAGGCACTTGACGGTATTTTGGGCGTGGTGCAGTGTGCGGTCCCAGTGCGGGTTGACTCGCTTCGCTCGAAGGCACTTGACGGTATTTTGGGCGTGGTGCAGTGTGCGGTCCCAGTGCGGGTTGACTCGCTTCGCTCGAAGGCACTTGACGGTATTTCGGGCGTGGTGCAGTGTGCGGTCCCAGTGCGGGTCGACTCCCTTCGCTCGCAGGCACTTGACGGTATTTCGGGCGTGGTGCAGTGTGCGGCCCCAGTGCGGATCGACTCGCTTCGCTCGAAGGCACTTACGGTATTTCGGGCCTGGTGAAGTGTGCGATCACAATGCGGGTCGACTCGCTTCGCTCGAAGGCACTTCACGGGGGATCTCGGGCGTGGTGCAGCGTGAGGCCCCAGTGCGGTCGACTCGCTTGGCACTTGACGGGATTTCGGGCGGGGTGCAGTGTGTAAAGGCGTAGAGTGGTTCGGTGTGTTGTTGATGTAATCGGTGTGGAGTGAATGCGAGTGTGGCATCGTGACTCGCTTCGCTCGAAGACACTTACTTCACGGTATTTTGGGCGTGTTGCAGCGTGCGGTCCCAGTGCGGGTTGACTCGCTTCGCTTGAAGGCACTTAACGGTATTTCGGGCGTGGTGCAGTGTGCGGTCCCAGTGCGGACAGACCTGCATGTACTCAACGAGAGTTCATGCGCAGGCAATGTGATATGTTTCCCCCCCTCGAGGAAATCGCTTTGTTCGCTGTGGCTTTCTTCGCTCGTAGACACTTGGCTCCATGGGACAAGAGGATTTTGAATCGTTCGAACGCTCAGCAAGTGCATACTCCTCGTCGATACGCCTTGCCGNGAAAAGAGGATTTTGAATCGTTCGAACGCTCAGCAAGTGCATACTCCTCCTCGATACGCCTTGCCTCACCCGAACCGTTGTACACGTACAGAAGAACTCCAGGCCACACACCCGTCCACTCGCCTGGGGCATTGTACGTCTATCTTTCATCCCACAGAGTGGCGTGCGCAGCTTACTTAACTCCCCTATGTCAACCGTAACTGTCGCCGGTGCTAGGTGTTGTGTGCACCTATCTATGATGTGTGGTTACCTAAATTTATCCATGTACACGATTAGAGGAAAGGGTTGACATTTGGACAGGTAGGTGGTGCTACTGCTGCAGGCAAGCTGTACGCTATCATGTTGGCTGTTGGAAGTGCGTGGGTCCTTCAATCCGTCCATGGTAGAGTAGAGGTGACGTAGGAAGCGGTTGTGGTGCAT